GCATTGTGGCTTGGCGCACCGTCTTGTTGAAACCAGTAACCATCAAGACCTTTTTCAAGTATTTGTGGGCAGACATAATGAGCCAACATCCACCGATATCGATTTCCATCGACTGTTTCGTTTGGACAAAAATGGCCCAATGATGGTTTTGGCGCAAACGCCGGTCCAAACAGTAACTTTCCGGTCATGCAACGGCATTTCGTGGATCTCATGTGGATTTACCGTCCCCCAACTGCGGCATTTTGCTTATTAACGCCGCCAGAGAGCGTGAAATGGGCCTCGTCGGTCCATCACAATTTGCTTCCAAAAATCAGGTTCAGCATCAACCATGCGAGCGACTGTTTGGGCATTTCCAAGCGACGTGGACGGTCAGTTGGCAATTTTTTTGTGTTTGCACCTTATAAGGAAAAACATGCAAATCATCCTTCAAAATGCGCCGCAACGTGGTTCCACTGATGCCAAAATGCTGAGGCGCGGTGGCGATACGACACTTTTGGGTTCTGGGCAACGCTGTCTCTGACCGCTTCAACCAATTCATTGGAACGTCTTGGCCGTCGATGAACGGTATGTTGACGATCTCTCATTGTCCCGTACCCAAGAAAATTCGAAACCAAACGACGGGTATTGTTGTCAGACGCCTGTTTGCTACGATTTTCGACGATAGCACGTTGCTTTAACACAACTGAACGAGGATTTTCATTGTACATTGTGACTATTTCGGCGCGTTGTTTCGGTGTAAAGAGATTCATGACTAAAATTGTAGTAAATTGACGTTTCAAAAACACGTATCATCAAATCATTCGATTGGTAAATAATATCAAAGTCATTCGATGTTTCAATACCGACATAAAAGATGGCGCACCCGTTATATACGTATATATGTATATCAGGGTGTTCCATAATTATTGCGACAAAATGATAGGGTTGTAGAGGGCATAAAAATATGCAATTTTGCCTTATAAACCCCTGTTCGTAAATATGCCGTTTGAGCACTACCGCTAATTTTACCTTAAGAGCTTATAGGAGAAACAAAAAATTCACCAGCTGCAAAATGTTCGTCTAGCACATTTATTTATCTGAGTGGTGCGTCAAACTAGATAGTAAATAACAGTACCTTAGTGTTAAAAAGCAGCGTTATTCGTATGCGGAACTTGCGGATATGCATTTAATTTACGGAGAAGCTGGTGGTAACGGAAGATGAGCCTCGCGAATCTACGCCTAATGGTTTCCAGAACGTCCTCATTCGCATCACGCCATTTTTGCAAGGATTCAAGGACGTCTTCGTGTCAGTGGCAGCATCAGACACCACGCGGGAGCAGGGCGGCCCTTCACGAGGCGCACAGTAGAATTGAGGAAGCGATTCTGCATCATGTAGAGGCCAATCGCGTACAAGCGTGCTTGCTATTGCACATGATATGGGAGCGTCCTCAACTACTGTTTGGCGGGTTCTCCATGACCAGCAACTACACCCATACCACCTTTTAAAAGTCCAAGCCATGGGTCCAGAAGACTATCTGCTGCGTGACGTTTTTGTCGTTGGTGGCTGCAGCAGGAGTTGAGGCAACCAAACTTTGGTCGTCCTACGTTTTGTTCACTGACGAGTCCTGTTTTACAAAGGACGGTTATTTTAATAGCCGTAATAGTCACATTTGGGATGAAGAAAACCCTAATGCCATACGCCATCCATAGAGACCAACATCAGTTTTCAATTAACATCTGGTGCGGCATTGTGGACGAGCATATCATCGGGCCATATTTGCTTCCACCACGTTTGGATGGGCATCTATGTCGATTCTTACAGCATGTGCTACCGGAACTATTAGAAAATGTGCCACTGAACATAAGAGCCAACATGTGGTTTTCAACACGATGGCGCTCCAGCACACTTTTCTTTACAAGTGCGGCAGTATTTGGACGACAAATTTCCAAATAGGTGGATAGGCCGAGTGGCCCTGTCACCCGACCTGACCCCACCGGATTATTTTCTCTGGGGCCATCTGAAAGCTTTAGTGTACGAAACTCCTGTTCCCAAAGAACAAGAGCTACTGGGAAGAGTGATGGCCGCGTCCGCACATGTTCAGGACATACCGGGGGTATGCCACAGAGTTCGCCGATCATTGAACAATCGTGCACAGCTGTGTATTGAGCAAGGTGGAGGATACTTTGGCAATTACTGTAGGTAAGCTGTTTCAAGAAACTGATCTTTTTTTTTGCTGCAGCCCAAACGGCATATTCCGAACAGGGGTTTATAAGGAAAAATTGTTCATTTGATGCCCTCTACAACCCTATCATTTTGTCGCAATAATTATGGAACACCATGTATACAGGGTGACTTCGAAGTTGAGTCATTTATTTTAACAGTGAGTAGATCTGATCAAAAGAAATGTTTTTTCCTTTAACATTTTTGTGGTAAAATTAAAGTAACAAAGTTATAGCCCTTTAGAAGTTTGAGTACCGCCCTGTCTCAATAATAATATGTGCTCGTGTTTGGCAACAACGGATATAATCGGAAACAAAAAAGCGAAAGAATTTGAAACGCTTCTCACGATGTTTTATTCATTTATTTTATTCAGTTGTATTCATTCGATGTGTCAGTCGGTAACGCGTGAGTGGTGTTTCTGCGTGGCTCAAACGAAATAAAAAATGGCACATGTTTACGAAAATGCTGAACTTGTGGACATGATTCTGATTTTACAAAATGCTGCTACGGCAACACGGATTTATGCGGATCGGTTTCCCAATCGAGTGCAACCAACCCCTAGTGCCTTTGTTAATGTAGTACAAAGGGCTCGTGAATCAGGTGACTTAAGTCCTCACACGGGAGGGTATGTGCTCCAAGACCGCACGATCAAATACAGGTCCGCACTGAAATACTTGTCGGGAGGATATTTTATAAAACAAGGTAACATTTTTATTAATTTTTTTTTAATTTTTACACACATTTTGGTTTATCTTCCTTCTACAATCATTATCTGAAAATTAATGACTCAACTTCAAAGTCACCCTGTATATTAATATAGTTCTTGAGGAGAACATAAGGATGCTGTCAAAGTTCTAAAATATACAGTATATTAGAAAAAAGTATTTTTCGAATAACTTATATTAACCACTCAGATAGAAAAATATTGCAAAATACGAGGTCTGTTAATTAAGTGATGGGACTGATTTTTTTTTAAATTATTTTATTGACAGAATACTACTTCGGTAGGCCTGCTGAAATTTGGCAAGACTTTCCCTCGCACTGTGCCCAAGTCTGAAGCGAATCCTGATAACACACCGTTGCTCGAAATTGATGTCATTCACTTTAATAATAGGAAAAACTGTTTGAAAAAAAAATCGCTACCGACAACGAAATGGCTCGAGCTAGTTCAAACTTGTTTTGAAGGGGGATCACATGTTCCCCTGTCTCCCCTAAAAAACCAGCGGCGCCAGTGTGGCCAGATCGAACGTCACGTTGCCAGTTGCATCACTTAATTTACACACCTCGTACTCATAGATATGGAAAACATTGTGAATTACAAATAATGATTAGAATTAACAAATCTCTTCCTCAATTTTATTGTCAGACAACACTTGTTGGCTGTTGGGTCGCATTATATGTATGTTAAATTCACAATTTTCTTCAAACCTTGCGTGCATTAATTGCATTTCTTTAGAAACATTTTGCGACCTCAGTGGTTTCTGTAAATGAAGGGTATGATTAAGATGCAGTCTACGCATTTTTGTTTCAAAATACTCCTTTCCAGGGTTGCAATGATTTAAATCGAATTATTAAAATCATGATTTAAATCAATCGATTTTTTGTAATTCAATCTTGATTTAAATCAAATTATAAATTGCTGGAAAAACAAGTCGCCGAAGCAAATAACCAGTGATGGGCGCATGTATACCCCATGTATAATTCACCATTGTATACGCGTATACAATGGTGAATGTATCGTCTCGATATTCACGTATAAAATGTATATAATGTATACAATAGCAAATCATAGTTCAACTACTGGCATATAGTGCTGGTCAAAGTCCCTTTGGCCTTTTAGATTTCTATTTGTACGAGGAAGAGAGGCAGGGGGTCAAGCGGGGCACCACTTGTGTAGAAAGAGTGCGCCACACACCACGTTGCCTGGCACAACAGTGATTAAAGCCACAGAACACAACTGTAACTTGCTGCAACGCCTTGTTTCATACACCCCAATATACATTTCTGTAAAATCTGTTTGGGATCAATTCCAGATCGATCCTAATGGTTCTCCGATTTTAGGTGGAACTGAAAGTTCAGGATAGATACAAATTCTGTAACATTGCATTATGGGTTGACTGTGGAAGCAGGTTATAAATAATAGAAAAATATATAATATTTATTTATAAACGTATACAAAGATACAGTTTTTAATAAATTAAGAAAAAACAATGAACCCTAGTTCATCGATTTCTTTGTTCTTGGAGCGTCCAACCATATTTTTTTCAGTTCAATGTATACCAACTTTCTGACGTTTGCGAATAAACCTAACCTCACGTATGCTATTCTATACATTGCCTTCATCATTGTATACATTGTATTCATTGTATACGCATTGTATAGGTACATCGGGACGTAGACAATTAACGTATACGCGTAAACGCCCATCACTGCAAATAACTGAAATAACCCATCAGCAAATTCAAAAAAGGAAAATAGTTTATTTAAAACTAAGAGTCTACCTACATTATGTAAGATTAAAATATAAATCATCCCCATTAGTCCATCGTAAATATTCATGAATTAAATTTAAGAAAATACAGTTAACAACAAAAAACTAGTTTATAGTTTATAATATTACCTTCATGAATAAATAAAAATTAAACAAAGATCATTCCACCATTCAATGGTATTGAAATATCAACAGTGAACAAAAACGTTACTCAGGCTAACCTACAAAAAACAACGCAAGATATGTTTGAGGAAGTCAATTATGATACTTATACAGGAAAACTAATTTAGCGGCTTTTTCGGGTCCCAAGTGATTTCGAAGTTATGAATACAGAAGACATGTGTCCTTTTAATAAATACTTATGCACAGAAAACCACTGAGTGAATTTCACCACCTTTTGAGGATTTAAAATTCTGATGTTGATGAGGTTCGAGTACCAACAGAAACGATTGCAAATTATGGTAACGCTATTACCCTGACCAAGCAGCTCATTACCCTGACCAAGCAGCTCAACAGTTTTGTCGAAAGTAAGGGAAATACAGAGCCTTTGGAGCTTGCTTCTAAATTACAAATACGATTTCAAGATGCTATTTAAGTGACTTAGTGAATTTTTATTTCATTGTGTTACTACATATACCTATGTATGTACATTGTACATACAGTATTATTATGTGGGTAATTGTCAATTTCGCACAGGTAAGTAGTCCCTCAACTGTATTATTCTTTTATTAGCGATTATCACATAATCTCATAGAAAGTTTACATTAAACATAAATACGCCGCATTAATAAACACTGGTAACTAAAACAAAGGCTTAGCTGTGAGTTTTTTATTTTTTTTTCCTAAGTAACATTGTGGTAATATTTAGTACAGAGTGGTTTTCCCTCCAAACTTTATATGTTCTGATAGCACTCCGTGAAAATAGTGTTCGAAGAATTTCATTTTCTACTGTATAAACCAACCTTATGAATTGTTACCATCATTGTTAGTATTTTTATAGAATATTTCTGAAAAGCCATACGTATCAAAATTTACTCAATAATTATTTTTTCAAACTTGGTCCTGCGTAACGTGTGAAGAGTATGGAATACGATGTTACCCAATAAATAACAACTTAAAATAGAGATGGCGCTACTAAGAGTTTTTATTAGCTTGAACAGGTTATCCTGCTGGTTGATCGGTTGATCGGGGAGAAGGGTACCGGAGGTTCCGGTGGTTTCGGTCGGCTGCCAGCGTAGAAGAGGTTGCGTGTTTTTATTGTGCATCCACTTTGTTACCCACCTGTTTACGTAAGTAATTAACGTATTCTTCATTATTGTTTAGGTTCAGTATGTTGTCAAAGAGGCAAATATTCTAAATATGAAATCAAAAAGTACTAGACGCTTCACAATATGACTTATGTGCGATATAATGTAAAATTTACTACTCTGTTACTACACAACTCTGTTACCAGCGCGTGGTAACAGGGTTGTTAAGAAAGTAACAGAGCCGAATTTTCCTGTATTATGTAACCTTGACTTAAATTTTCAACTTGTAAAATTTATAAAAGTAATGAGTATCTTAAAAGTAACGTTTACGGACCATATGTTATATTTTTTACTCAAATTATAGATAAGGAACGATGGTTAAAAATGTTTTGGATTAATCGGCCTACCGTTTTATAAAGTTAAAACATGTTTCAGAATACTGTGTTTTTGGGATTTCAAAATGCCTCTCCTGAGAAACAGCGACGATACCGCGAACGACGTAAAAATCATCCAGAAAAGGAAGCAGAAGCTAAGAGAAAAGATCGAGAGACATACCATGCTAACAAACGCTTAGTACGAGATTTGACAACACGTGAACATCGAGCATTAAAAAAGAGATAAAGTTAGAGCGCTTCGTATTGTTATGCACACTCCAGAGTCATCATCTCCTCGTTTAAATGATCCAGCCCCCCTCGGATCAAGATCAAGTACTCCAAATACTGATGATCGTTTGTCTACGCCCAGTTGTTTACTTTCCGTGCAAATACTCCTAGCCCCATTTCACCAGCAGCATCTCGCGGCAGAAAGCAAGTAAAAAGAAACATATCGAAGTTATTTAGAGACAACATAAAATTAAAGGAACAACTCGAAGCAATGAACAGAGATACGAAAAGTATAAAAAAGATACAATAGAGAAAAAAAAGAGCTCTGAAATTGAAGATGGTGGTCGTGCATATCAACAGAAGTATGAGATCCGATCAAATGCTATTAAAAAACGATACGAAAATCTGAAAAATCAGAAGGAAAAATGTGCTATTCAGAGATATTCGAAGGAAGGTCTGTTAATGTTCTAGGCAAAAAACACAGATCATCCAATATGTCTTGCTGTGGGACAAGGCTACATACGAAAAAAAAACAGCCTCTGCTTAAGCAAAACTGTTTTAAGTACCAACATTGAACGAGACGATATATCAAGAGCGACTGCAGGAAAAAGGAAACCGTTACTTTAAAGAAAATAGAATGCAAAAGCGCTACTTACTCGATACTATGACTAAAACCTTTATCTATCTTTTCAACGTGAAATACTAACTTGAAATGTAGTTACAAGACTTTTACACGATACAGGTCATTTTATGCTTTACTTCCAACTGTTGCTGCAGGAGAAACATGTTTGTGTCGAATTCATATCAACATCTAGTACCTAGCAATTGCTTTGTGTAAAAACCAAATTATAACCACCTCAGATCTTAACAAGATTATTGTAAGCCAAGTATGCGATCCAGAATCACAAACATGTATGACAGGACTCTGTTCTGTATATCAATCAAAAACAACTATTTATGTTACTTCAAAAAAAGAAGTGATAGTGAAATATCCTCAATGGTTAACTAAAACTGAAGTGATAGAGAAGTCAGGGAAAAAATAAAGGTAACAAAAACATCAAAGAGGAGGTAGAGAGTACAGGAAAGGCTTTGATAGATAAATTTTGAAATCCCACTTAAGGAATTTAAAAGGCATGTATATTACATTAAAACACAGTACAGAACCTTAAAAAATGCATAGATGACTCGTCCATCAATGAGATTGCACTGCACATTGACTTTAGCGAAAATTATAGTTGTAAATGTTATGAAGAGGTACAATCCCATCATTTTGGAGGCTCCCGAAATTAAGTATCCTTGCATACTGGAGTGATCTATAGGCGTGGATCAGATGATAAGATAGAGGTATCATCGTTTTTGTACAGTTTCTAGAAACCTATCGCACAATACTGCTGCAATTTGGGCTCACTAAAGTATAGAAATTTGAGTTGTTTCTGTAAGCGCGGCTTCTGCTCTTGCCTAAACCCCAAGTAATACATTCCATTAAAAATTGCAGCGAAACAATCACGTCCATCCATTTGCGACAACAATTTTCTCTCTATAAGCAAACTTTCCCGAAAACGAGAAAAAGGCTTTTACAACACTGTCTACTACTCAGACTTCGATGATGATGCTCCTCTGATATCATTAAGAGAAAATCCTAGCACTTATTTTGTAGAACAAGCCAGCTCAAGCAAGGAAAATGACGATGCCTTAATCGAGAAGAAAAATATTCACATTAATAAAATAAAACAAGGTGTTTGTGCCTTAGTTAAAATTTCCAGCTTAAAACACAACTAAATGTATCTGGGTAGTGCTTTATCTGAACTAGAAGAAGGTGGCGAGATTAAAATTATGTTTTTTAAGTCAATAGATCATACTGCAACAAAATTTAAATTAGTTGAGTCCGATGTTTCTTATATGCCTTTGATGATTTAGTTGCTATTGTCCCAGAACCTAAATAAATCTATAAAGGTAACAGAATATACTACCATTTTGATATTCCATTAGACATATTTGAGAAATAAGCAAGTTAGACCTTTCAGTTACTCTTTCAAGAATATTTGATTACAGTTTTTCTTAAGTTAATTATAGATTGGTGAATACCAGTCACAAAGTTTATCAACATTACTTATGTTTATGTTATTAAGATTTCAAGCTCAACCGAGTGCAGTTTTAGTCAGGTAAGATGCAGAAAAACCACTATGTTACTTTGTTACAACTCTGTTACTTTCCTGTCCCAAATTTCAAAGGATATTCTAAAGATTTGTATGAAACGTTAGTTAATATAATATAGTAATATAACAGTAAGTTAAATTGTTACATATATACATTCATATGTACGTTGTAGTTAGCAGTTAATATATAGATATTTAGAGTACTTAGACAGAATTTAATGTCTATTAAAGTTCAAGAAGTAACATAGTTGTATAGAATTTAAATAAATTATTATTAAACTTTAAAAAAATGGTGTGATTCCAAATGTGATTATAGGCCAATGGACTATAATTAACATTATTGCAAAAATATTTGGGACTGAATTGTTTAATTTCATAATAAAAGTTGAAACGTTATGATAACAGAGTTGTAATTTTTTTGATCTCTCACCCAAAATACCTGGCATAAATCTTAAATTATTAGTTAAACATCGTGGCCGACTGTAACATACAAAATTCAGTTATGTTTCCATGCATAGAAACTAAGAAAAGTTATATCTAGGTTTTTTTATTTTTTTTTAAGTTTCATCATTTTTAGTCACTGTTACCTGCGCGAAATTTGACAATGACCCATTTATGTACAAGGTGGAAAACTAAGAATGCGACGTACTGAATCTGTTCACCGATCCATCGTAGAACTTGCGGCAAAAAAGTTCTTACTAAAACGGCCAAGAGAAAAACCTGGAAAATGTTTTCAAGTTTCTGGATTGGCCGCTAGGGGGCGTAACTGCAATCTTGAATCTAAAAAGGTAATGTTTCTGTGAATTCCGTTATATTAACTTAACAAAAGATCTATCTTTAAATTCGAGGGTAATGTTAACTTTTTGTTTGAAAATTTTTGTAGTATCGTAGTGGGGGGTATTCAAAGATTTCCGTATCTTCGAAGCGGCTGAGCCGATTTTCAAAAAGTTGGGCTAGTTGAAAAGAGATATTCTTGGGCTACAAACGTTATAATGTTTGAAGTTTTGTTAGTTTCACATGTGGCCGTTAGAGGGCTTTTTTCGACATTCCAACAGAAATGGTAGCTAAATGATGTCTAAACAAGCTCGCAAAAACCGATCAATCGATCATGTTCCTAACCTAAAATTTAGGCCAAAGAAAATTTTATACGGAAATCCTTTAATTTTGTTTATTCATCAGAATAAATTCACCCTTTTTAAATAAGTAATGCTAATAACAAAAGCCATGTATTTTGTTTAAATGCATATTCACGATGTGTATATATTAAAAAGACAGTTAATAGAAGTAGGCCATGGAATACAACAAAACAAATAACTAACCAAAACATAAATAATCGTCAAATTGTCAGTAGGTTCGCGTTACTTCGAGCAAATTTTGGACTTGCCAAATGTGTTTTTTCGAACGTTGAAGCTGTTTATTTTGAATGCCTTAAGAATGCCGCAGTAGCAAAAAGAGTTTACGCGACCCGATACCCAAATCGGCGTCTTTGCAATGTGAGAGTTTCTCTCCGATTAGTGCCGAGCTTACGTGCCAATAGTAGTTTTCGGCCTACGATCAATCGAAATATAGGGATTTATTTAAATTTAACTTTTTTTAATTACTTTTAGAATGCACCCATATCATGTCGTTTTACATCAGGCCTGGAAAGAAGAAGACTTTGATCGTAGGTTGGACTATTGTCATTGGATGTTAGGTATGATACGCGAAAATAGAGAATTTTTATTTAAAATTCTTTGGACCAATGAAGCCGCCTTTAATAGTGACGGGAGAATCAATCTGCACAATATGCATTATTGGTTTGCAGAAAATCCGCATTGGTTGCGTGAAGTTCGGCACCAAGGGCGTTGGAGTTTAAATGTGTGGTGTGGCATACTGGGAGACACTTATGGGGCCATATTTTTTCGAGCAATCTCTAAATGGCAATGTCTTTCTTGACTTTTTGGACAATCGATTACCCTTGTTGTTGGAAGATGTGCCACTGGAAATATTGTTGGATGGTTGCCCAGCACATTTTGCTATTATTGTGCGAGAGCATATTAATGCAGTTTTTCAACATCGGTGGATTGGAAGAGGAAGCCTTCGGGATCACCAGTCTTGACTTGTCTTGATTTTTATTTATGGGGACGGTTAAATGACATCGTGTTTCAGACTCGACCTACAACCAGAGAAGATATGAAAAACTGGATTCGTTATGCAATACGTAACATACCGAGAGCCGAAATTGAAGCTGCAGTTTTGTCAACCCATTTACGGGGGCATTAAAATCCTTCCTTTTTTAAATCGGCCTTCCTTGTAAAATTTCTGTCATTTCTGTCGGAATGACGAAAAAAGCCCTCTACCGGTTACATGTGAAACAAAACTCCAAATATTATAACGTCTGTAGCCCAACAATAGCTCTTTTCAACTAGCAAAAATTTGTTAAATCGGCTCAGCCATTTCGAAGATACAGGACGTTTTTTACGGAAACCTTTGAATACCCCGCATCACATTATTTCAAGAGATACAGCAAAACTTGTCAAGCAACAATTCAGATTATCCTCGAATTTAAAGATCAGGTATTTTTTGTTAGGTGAATATAGCGGAATTCACAGAAACTTTTTTGGATTCAAGATTGCAGTGACGCCCCCTAGCGGCCATTTCAGAAACTTGAAAGCATTTTCCAGGTTTTTCTCTTGGCCGTTCTAGTAATAATATGGCTTATCCTCTACGATGGATAAGTTCCCAGACACAGTACCTCGCATTCTTAGATGGCCACCCTGTACATGCTTTGTCTATGTCTAAAGTAAAAAACCTTTTTTCTTGGGTTTAAAGTTTTTTGTTCATTTAAAATTTATATTATATATACGTTTTAAATGTTCCACATGATTTTTGTTGTACTTCTCAATACCTTCAGTCGTTGATGTCCGACCAAGGGAGATTTCACTGTCTACCAAACCAAATGCTCTTTCGACAGAAGCTAAAGAAGCTGTAGCAGATAAGAGCTGTTTAATGATGGGCAGTACTTTTCGACTAGTATCGAAATTCTGTTGGGATTTCCACCAATTTAAATCGTTTTGAGCATTCCTTCATCAGTTATTACGTCGGTAAAAGGATATGATTTTGCCAGGAATCGAATTATTAGTGGCAAGAACCCACTGGGAAGTAGTTATTTCGTTGTCTGCTAATACATGTTGTGGTTTTGTCGGATCAAGGAGATATGCTAGCAGATGATTTATGGAGTGATGCGTTGGTCGTATCGGTTTCTAAATTTTTTGTATTTGACTTGAAGTAAAATTCTCAAATACTGATAGACATTTCTAAATTCTTGAACGCAATTTACATGTATGGCCGACTATAAGTTAAGAAATGATCTGTTTCGCATCAATCGTTCATTATACTATAAAAACGAACGATTTTTTTTGTACCGACAGAAAAGCCGCGGCATGCGCACGAGATCTCATCTCAAGTTTTTTGCATACCACCCAGCAGATTTTCTTACTATAAATCGAGACAAAAGGTATGTTTGGGCGAATAGAGAAAAACAATGAAAATAATTTATTTCAAAGTTTATTATTATTGGCATATTTAAGGAAAAAATCGTACAAATTTATCAAAATAAAAAAAAAAAACACGAAATTATTGTATAATATTTTTAAACTCTGAAAACATGAAAGAAATTCGTTTGTGTGTGAAGTAGTTGATTTGCTTGGAGCTATAAGGCGATTTGTGAGACATTCGGCATTATGTCATAGTGTTCTTAGTCATTTAGTTCATACGTTAGTATGTTAACCGTATCACCTAGAAACTTGACAGATTCAAATAAAAGGGAGAAGAGTGAAGAGAAAATAGAAAGGAAGGAAGGGGGCATAAGTAATATATCGTAGCTACAAGGTGCATTATCAGGGTTGATAAAAACATAACGGCTTTTTGAAAAATCTAATGTATTTTTTTATTTATCACGTGCTGGTTATTATCGTTACTCCCTTAGATATCAGATGAGAAAAGTTCTTGCACAAAGCCAACAAACCCAATGTTTGGACAGGAACATTATTGTCCGCATTTCGGAAATAAGGCATTATTTGTGGATTAACTTTACGCAGGTACATATTTATATGTTGCTCTCATATGTCGAAAAAAACATCTCGTCTAGCAATAGGTATATATTTGGCGTAAATGTGAGGGTGAAACAGGTAGTATGGCTATATGTAAAATGTGTAGATCTGGAATGCAAGGAGTTGTTGACAGATTCAAGAAAGACTTTCAGATGTTGTAGGTACGTCAATTTAAAATTCTGGAATCTCTATTTGAGGAGAAATAGCTTAAGCCAATTGCAAAAATTTATACAACGATATGAGCAATGCCTCGCGCCATGTCATTTGTTAACCTTTCTTTTAGAACCCACTAAACGACAGCTAAATGTAACTATCAGAAAATGAAAAGAACTTCATTTGTAGTAAAGGCCGCCAAAGAATTGCAACCTAACAATTTCTTACCTGTAATAATTAAGTTGTTAGCGAAGTCTTTTATTGAAATTATGCTTGATGAAGACATTCTTAAAAGCACAAAGCCTTTAGACTGGAGGAAAAACCAAAAACATGTTGAAATTGTAGAATTGTTTTCTGCCTCAGCACGTTTGGCATCAGTCGAAAGGGTGTTTTCAACATTTGGCTTAGTGCACTCTAAACCTAGAAATTGCTTGGGCACCCAAAAAGAGAAAGATGAGATAATCCTACTGTTGTACATACATATATATATATATATACGTTGTTCTAATTTTGTTTAATAAACTGTTCGTCTTAATTTTCTGACGTTCCATTTGCTTTGGAGACTTGTACCTACGGAAACGTATACCTTGATTAAAATTTATTTAAATTAAAAAAATAGCTGGTTGACATTACTTATAACAAGTGAGTGGTTCACTAGAGTCGATTAACCTAGGAATCAGTTCGCTTATTGCAAGTAGTTAGTATAGAAGTCTATTAGAGATGCAAAAATTAGCAAAAATAAAATTGTATTTGTGGCACCGTAAGACGTAACCCAGTTCCACTGAAAGCATTTTCGTGAAACCTTTTCAATTGCATTGTTAAAAGCTTGAACAATTAAGTTTACCCGTAAAAGTTGACCTTTATAACTTTTCTATGAATATTAAAAAATATATGAGAAAAACAATTGCAATATTTCTAGGGCATAAGATAGATTAAAAAATAATACGAAAAGTTCACATGAACTTGAATCTCTTTACCAACATACACGATCTTGAGGTTATAATTTTTATTGGTTGTATTAAGATGTGGAATTAAGATTTTGTACATGTTGTAGTATTGACGCGAAGCCAATAAATACAAAGGTTTTCGTTCCAGAGTCTGCACTAGTGGCGTAGAAATTGGGAATTTTTGACTAATATAGAAGCAATTGAAAATTATTGTCTACGCCACAGACTTCTCTGAAACATATTGTATTTTTAGATAAGACATTAAGTAACTTCTCTTGTAAATTATTCTCAGACTTCAGAGAAAAATTGGTTTGATTATTTATATTCATTAATATATATACTGTGTCGGTAGTGACGAAATTATGTACAAATCTCGCTTCAGAACAGCATTATTTATCTCCTTTGATCTTATTCACCAAGAAACCAGTGGCATGCTTAAATATAATTCCAAATAGCAGGTAAAAATTAGAGTAATTGTATGTAACCAATAAATCCAGTACAGTCCAGTGTCGATTCACAGAGTTTTATCTAAATTAGTTGAGTAATTTCAAGTAATTAACTCCTTGTATGAACTTTCTTGTTGAGTTTGATGAGGCTCATCAGTTGGTATAAACCGAATAATCGTGTACGTAAAAAAGTGAATTGAAAAAAATATAAGGAATTGAAAATCAAGCGCGGACAAAATTAATGGGTATATACAGTAATATATACAGCTTCCGAGATTTAAATCTAGGGTACCCTCCACTAAATAAACTTTTTTCTCATTTCAGTGTTATTCTTTCAAAATGAAACGAGTTATGGCTGAATACTTATTCTGTACTTTTTCAGTGCACCGCATGTAGAAGACTTTCAAATAGATGCTCTGATCTCTGATATAAGACCTAGATCATATTACGCCTACAGGTTATCAGAATTGAAGCGCGATATGGTTGTCTTAGTAAATTATAATATTGGAAACCCTTTGGCTTTAGGAAATTGGTAAGTACCTATAGTGACAGCAACAGCAAAAAGCAAATAGCGCTAAATTGCTGTTTTTTATAGGTATGACTTCATTATTGAAGAAGTATCACGAACGGCAAACATTAGAGGTACCGTTTTACTTGGAGGTGACAGAAAGCCAATTGCAGGTTGCTATGTAAGGATAGAACATGGTATCATGAGGATTGAAAAAACTGTAAAATTGCGTGAAAGATCTACTGAAAATATCACCCATCTACCAAGTAGGTTTATTTTCACACAGACAGAGAAATATTTAAGAGAATAAAATAACATTTCGAAAAGTACTACCCATAGTTTTGCTTGCATTACATCTGTATCTAGACTTCATTTTTGTGGTTGTTAATATTCGTTTTCATTTAAATAAGTTGGTTGGATAGGTGCGAATTTGCCTAAGTTGGTACTAAGAAAATGGCCTTGGAAGGTTTATCCAACATTTTAATGCAACAATAAACTAATTTCAATATGTTGCTTGTTTATATCCTCGACAAAAAGTCAGGACTTCAACTTGAACATTTTCTGATCTTAAAATGACCCTCAGGGCCACAGTCAGGTTCGTTTATCAATGATTTACTTGAACTTTGCATTTCAGGAGTTGAAAATAGATTTTTCCCGTTTAGAAATTCATACAATTTTCAAATGACGTTGATGGTCACCGTCAAGATCATTGACATACTTGAACCTGGAGTTTCTTGCTTAATTTCGGAGTAAAAAATAGAAGTAAACTGACTTTACCTTCAAATGAGCTTGAATGTCATAGTCAAGGTCACGTTCAAGGTCTCTATTAGATTGAGGCTTTTAAAGCTTCCAAGTTTTCTGAGATATTTTGTCCCTTCGCTACGTTCGTGACACCCCCGTGACATATTTCTATAGGAAACCTATTTTTCGAGATATTTTGAGCTATTCATACTTTTTGAACACCCTGTATATTTTCGCTGATAAAATCATTCCTATAACCTACATCGGATTCCAATAAAAGTACATTTATAGAAAAAGAACGCGGGCTACCGTTGAGCTTGCATGCACCGCGGTGCCGTCGCCCACTCCAGCTTCCTTGTTTGGCATTGTTCCTGTATATGAGCTCGATCCATTCTGCCCAATAACAGTCGTGCAGTCAGGGTCCCCGTTTCTTGGAATTATAACGCACTGAGCACGCGCTGGTTATGTTTCGGTTTATTGTTTTGGATAGACATAATTTAGTAAGTGTACAAATTTTTACTTTACTTTTTCTTTTCTCCGACTGTACATACATTAACGTTCTGATTGAATAACTCCATTATGTTGATTGCTCAATTCTCGAACTTTATGTCATTTTTTCATATTCACGGCCGTACCGTCAGTCGTTCCTACAATTGTAGGACGCCTTTATCAACTCCTTGATTTCCATAGTATTTTCTCTCCTTCAGAAAGGCTGGGGTGTTTCTAGATTTCTACTCTCCCGTGTCAACGTCTGCGCTCTCGTATTGTGAGGCTATGTTTTCTTTTTGAATTGTAGGACATTTCAAGCTGATATAGCAGATGATATAAATTAAAAGCATGAACAATTTCATGCTAATAGATATTTGTAACATAACCTCAAAATAGAGCGCTGACACGAAACAGTAAAAAACTATGAAAATCTAGGAGGCCATAAAGACGTCCTACAATAATTGTACCGTTTTCTATGATCTTGGTTTCATTCGGAAGAGCTTGCGCCTGTGCTCCTGCTCAGGCTTAATCTTATCAAATTAGTTCACTTTGTGGCCACTAGATAGCGTTTTATGAATGTGTCACATTTTTAATTCTTTCGAACATTCTAAATACAACGGTATAGGTACTTTTTTAATATTGGTCGGAAAGAGCATAAACAATCCTATAAAATGGCGAAAACCGCAGATCAATATTTTTATGCGTCATGGATATACAGGTAAATGAAAAATATGCTTAAATTACAATTATTAGTAGATACTTTTTTTTATACTCCAACTACCACGAAGGCCTGAGGCCTAAACACCCACTGGGTACCGTGGGGTTACAGGGGGATACAGGGGATACTGGATAAAAAGAAAAATTCAAGTTATGAATGGTTATACATACATTTTACGTATCAATATGATGCGATTTTAAGATATTTTACTTGGAAATTAATTTTTACGCTTTTTGTAACCGGTAGGGGGTGTAAGTGTTGAATATTGTATGAAAAAATACATACTTCAATGATACCACATATTTGCTTTGAAATACGGATAATTCAGCAAATACCGAATTTTTACCGCTTTAGGTAGTTCGATCCATTGTAATATTATACAGGGTTATCCAAATTAAGTGTCCACCATTGGTAACTTTGTTATTAGTAAAAATACAAAGTTGTTTAAATTAGCAAACTAGTAGCATTTTTAACGCTGGTAAAAATGAGAAATAAAAAAAAACAATTGAGAGTCGTTATTTTGATTTTTTTCAGTAAAATAACATTTTTTTAAATGGAAACCCCTGTATATTATATTTTTTTCTGTTAAAGCATCAAATTTTAAAAAAAAAGTTCATAATGACTTTTCCGCTAAAGTCAAAAATAAAGTCAAAATAACGATAAATATTTTTAATTATTTGCAGTATTATAATATTAAGACGGCTGTGAAAACAACATGGCGTTCGCGATTTGACAGCATTAAGATAAGCGACAAATTGTTAAACTGGACATACTCGCAACTAGAAGGCTTTGGAAAACAATGATAAAATCAAATAATGTCAAACATTAGTGTAAATACTTGTTTATAAGCTTTATTGTGTCATTAATTTAAAGAAAAATGTTCTCCCATGAAGAAAAGTGTGATATGTTAGAATGCTATTTAGTGTGCCGAAAATCCTCCTTGAGAGCAAGAGAATACTACAGTGAATAATATCCCGCTCGCATTCAACCGTATGAACGATATTTTCTGAGACTTTATCGAAAATTTAGGGGCAACGAAAATGTTTTTGCTAAAACAAGGGCAAAAAAAATTCATAATAAGCGAGGCCACGGAAATTGCAGTTATTGGATATTTTGAAGCTTATCGTGAGAATTCAATAGCAGATATTCTCAAGGACTCTAATTTCAGTTATGGTACTGTTCAAAGGATTTTAAAAAAATACAAATTTATTCCGTATAAGTACCGACCAGTTCAAACGCTTTTGGCAGGGGATCCAGAGAGAAGACTTGTTTTTTGCCATTGGTATCTTAGCTTCTGTCGCCAAAATGTAAATAACTTTCGTTACCTTTTATGGACAGATGAATCAAATTTTTCAAATTCTGGAATGTTTAATAAAAAAAACCACCATTATTGGTCAA